AAGTGACAAAAACGCCACCAATTATTTTTGCGACGCTTAGCACCAAGCGCCGAGGACGCGGCCGTCGCTATAACTTTATGACGTTTTAAAAACGTCGTAATATTAGTATAGGCGGCGTTTTTAAAACGCCGCCAAATGTCTTGCTAAACACATGCTGACGTCACTAACGATATTTAGCGACGTTTTGAAAAAACGCCGTCATATCTTTTTAAGAAAATATGGCAGTAGATGTAGCGTTTAAGAGGCGTTTGTAGAAACGCAGCCATATCCTTTTTTTTTTAAATTGTACTAATTTTATTTGTTTGAACTAAAAAAAATACCAGTAATAACACTAATATAAAATAATAACTCCCATTCAAATAGTTGTAATGAAACATTAATTTAATTTCTCATTCAATTAATATCCAATCACCATTACCCATAAAATTAACATATCCAAAATCTAAAATTCATGTTTTAACACTAACCACAAATAAACATTCTTCTCATCTTCACCAAACCATTTTGAAGTGATAGTAGACATAAACACGTTAACGAAACTTGCTCCAGCCTCGGTGGCAATGGCCTTTGCCAACATTGTCTTCCCAGTGCCAGGACGCCAAAATAGCAATATTCCTCTGCATGGCTTTAAAAGGCCTCCCTTGAATAGGTCTGGTCTTCGAAGAGGTAGCATTACTAGTTCTTGGAGAGATTCCTTAATATCATCCAAAGCACCAATATCTTTGAATGTCACACCGATCTCACTAGCTGGTATGACTTCTGGCCTTGTGCACTTCTCAAATTCAATATCAGGAGGAATCTCCTGGTATAAGCAAACACCACGATGAGAAAAGAAGGGAACGAGAGAAGAATAAACACTACAGAGACGGATGGTCATCATAAACTTCATGTTAAGTTTACAAAACTAAAAAAAATCGATCTACATGTCTATATATTATATGCCTGAAAGAATGCCAGTGATTCTTCAGTTGATTAATTAAATACTAAAAAAGTATCCGCAATTTTAACATGGAATGCAGAGGTGCAGGTGCAGGCATATATACATAGCCACTTGTAGAACCAATGGTAGAGAATAAGTAAATCCTAACAACGAAATCTCAGAAATGAAATAATAAATCTAACCCACCAGAGCTTTTGATGCTGGCGCTGAGTTACCAGCATCCTTCGCTGTTGAAGTTGATGCCTCAGGGACTGTGCTTCCAACTTTTGTTTCTGGCTTCATAGCAACAGCCTCATCCTTTGGTGCATCCGAGGACAATAGAAAGAGCACATCAAGAAAATACTCTTCACGTTCCATACTGTTAGATTATTGAAAAAACATATGCACAACCATGATTTCAGGCAATATGCTCCTACATGAACTGCTTCATCAGCCCAAAGTCCATTATTGATTATACTGTTAAAATATGAATGAGACACTTGAATTACTTCATACTGCATAAGAGATGGTTACTAAATATTTTTTCTGAACAGAATCACCAACTACAAAGTCCTGTTACCAACTCAATGATAAAATGTTGAAGTTCTCACTTTCAACAAAAAGAACATGTTGCTTCCTCTTATGCCAGAGGTTTCCTTCATAGGTTTTTTGCATATATGAGGATTCTACCACAACTAGTCCAATAAACTTTTTAGCTGGTAGAAGGGTTCATTAAGTTTTTGTTAGGAGTCCAAATGGCTCTCCAATAAGAGTTCATTCCTAATTTGTTGGACATAAAAAATAAAAATAAAAAACTAGCAGCTTTCTTAGAGATAAAAGACAATTTTTGCGTATTTCTATTTGGGTCAATTTGGAGACAAAGATGTGTAGATCAATGTGGCATGACTCTGATACGTTTTTAGAATCAGGTAGAAGGGCCGAATAAGAATAATGCTACTTTTCTCCTCCACCCATGTGAATTATGTGGGGTATTGCAATTACAACATATTTAAAAAAATATTCAATTAGATCTATTACACCAATAAGTAGCTAAAATGTTTTATTCATGCATAACAGTAAATAGGACTACTATAAATCATATACTCTTTGAAAATAAAATACTCCAAAAGAACCTGGATTTGCGGAAGAGGATTGTGAAACAAGGTTATTCATATTAAGGTTATTCATATTAGCTGCGGCAGAAGCATTTCGATGAAGCTTTGAAGGATTGGAAGAACATTCTGTTCCCCTGCAAATGAAAGCAGAAGACAAAATAGAAGGAATATTAAACAACCAAACAGGTAATGACCACATTTGCATCTTTTTCTACATACACGCCATACCTTGATCCAACTTCTTCCCCACTGCTTTGCCTACGCAATGTGCCTGTAACTAAAGAAGAGCCCACTTCAATGATGTCAACAATGCATTATATGAAACCATTGACACAATAAACAAGAAAATCAATTTTCCTTAAAAATACATTGCAGTTTTGGGTAGAACTAGACTTCTCCCTCCTAGAATCTAAAGTCACCAGAACATATCCTGTAAGGCAGGAAGAAAGCACAAATAACTTTTTAAAAAAACTACTAAACTTATGTCAAATGGTTTGCTAACAGACATACAAACTACTTTGAATAAAGTCATCAAACACATCAGAGTGATCATCAGTGGTTCTCAAAATGTTCTCCTTAACAGATGTGCAGTCTCCATTATCAAATTTTATAACTAACACATCTTGTTTCTCGTTGTTTGTGATGCTCTGATCGTAGTTTCCTATAATATGAAGCATTTGTTAATAAAGCAAGAAATTAGTAAACAAAAAGTCTACGTGCACAAAAAAATTTCAGACATGTTTCCATGAAAAATTTCTGTGCAAGTAGATTAGTTGATTAGTAGAAGAAATAAAAACAGACAAATTAAATGGAGGGAAAATTCGGTGTAACTTGCTCTCGGACTTGTGCATTCTTTCTCAAATGACTTCTCCAGTAGTTCTTTATCTCATTATCAGTTCTTCCAGGCAACCTTCGAGCAATTTTTGACCATCTATGAAGTAAACAACAAACATATTTTAAACAAAACTTGGGACAACTTGTATAAGACGCTACTGTTTGGCATAGAAGTATAGGCATAATTTAAGTAGCATAGTAAATTTGGTTCTGTTATGTGAGTCTTGAGGCATTTAAAGGACGTAGAAAAAAGGGCCTTACTTGTTACCCCATTGCTTGTGAAGTTGAAGAATGATCCTCTCTTCTTCTGCACTCAGTCGACCGTGCTTAAGATTGGGACGTAGATAGTTCATCCATCGCATTCTACAACTCTTGCCGCTCCTCCTTAAGCCTACAAGTAAACAATCTCCCTGTAAAACCTACCACTTACATGTAATCATGTTTGGCTGTATTTTTTTGTTTCCTGTTTTCTGTTTTATTTTTCAAAAAACACATAAAACTTGTTTGGTGAACTGTTTAAAAAAATGGTTTTTGAAAAATTTTGTGGAAGCAACTCACTTTTTCTGAAAAACAAAAAAACTTGTTTTTGAATTTTTGGAAACTTCTTCCTTACAAAAATGAGAACGATGAGTTTTTCTGAATTTTTCATCACTTTAATTTAAAAGACAATGCATTAGTTTTCTCTTCTTATTATGTAATTTAAACTGAATTGAACCTGAGACTTTCGCTACTAAATCCCATAGTCTTTCCCCCATAGGTTCCACAATGTTTTCCTTGGTCAAGACCTCTGAAGCAAAAGCAAACTATATAAGAAGATAGTTTCTTAACATGATTAATGATACAATTGTAAGCACAATGGCTTGAAAAATATTTCAATCTGTATTTTGAAAAAGATTGGGAGTCAACACTTGGTTTTTTACGGTATAACCAAGAATCCAAAAATTTGATCAAAAATATAACCTCTTTACTTCTCTGGGAGAGGAATATGGTCAGGAGAAAGATTAATACTCACAAGACAAATAGTTACAAGCATTCACTATGATCAAAATTTACTATCTATCAACAAATTCTAAAAAACTAAACAGGAGTCTTTAAAATTAGCAGATTTACTAGATATTACTGAGTTAAGAGCCAATTAATAAATAGAAATAAGCAATCACACGGAGAGATACTATTCAACGTGGAAAACCCAAAAGGGTAAAAAACCATGGGACAAACAAACCACTTGTGCTCCAAGATTAAGTAGATTCAGATGCACAGATGGTACCTGCTCTAACACTGAGCAATTCGCTATCCACTTCTGTCCAGTCTCTCACTTTGACTTCATTCTCCACAAGCTCTGCCCAGCACACGATCACAATGTCTGCGTTTGAACATACAAACTAGGACAGAGCATTGTTCAGGGTAGAACAATGTGCATTTGAACAAACTGGCCCAACATTTAAACAATTAAGGAAGCCACATTCGAATAGGGCAATACAATTTTTGCATAGTTCATTTCAACTGACACACAGGTATATAAAACCATGTCTAAGGGGCAAACTAAAATTTGCACTCTAAATTTATGGATGAATGTATATGTAATTTAAATATATATATATATATATGCAATCAAAAAAATTTATACACTAATGTATATGAATATTTTATAAACTAAGGTCTACAATATTATTTTTCCAATTTGAAAGTATTATAAACTAATACTACTACAATAAGAGGTTTTGAAACTTGTGGTGATGCCCAGCCAAAATAGAGGTTTTGAAACTATTTTCTACAATCTAAAAAATCCTAAATTCCATGTAGCATTGCCTATATGTCACATGTACTCTAAGAGTATGTAATAAAAAGGAATAAGATTGGCATTATAAAAAAAAATAAGATTTAAGTACAAAAATGGAATGGAATGGAATGAAAAAAAATTCCCAAAAAACCAATACTTGTTGCATGTAAAAGACCTTTTTGTCATCCCAATTATGATGGAGTAGGTGCTAAACCATTTATAACTGTAAGCATCTAAGATCAAATTCCATGGAAACAACATCTCCAATAATTCCCTAAGGCATCAGCAATATTTTCAAATTTCAGGTTTCGTAGAAAATTTAAGTTGATAATCATAGAATTCCTCAATCAATCCTCATTCAGATTTTAAATGATTGAATAGATCAATACACATTTAATTTAAAGGCAAGCCTATCCTTTTGTACTTTTATTTTAATCTTTATTGATACTCTTTGTTGTCAATCAAAAAATAAAATAAAATGAAGATAGACCATACTATGAGAATCAATTGTGTGCTTACCAGGATTGTTGACTCATAAAAGAACTTAGTTCAATGACCCTTGGCACCTGAAAAAAAATGATGGGTGTAAGATAAAAATAAAATAATAGCAATAGTGAATAGTCAACAGTTGGTGAGGGCCAAAGAGGATAATGAGATTTGATCACAAGCAACATTGAGAAAACTAAATATCAGGAACATTCTTCACCACAGCATACAAAGCCAAGAAAGGAAAGCGAAAAAAACCTCCAATCATTAGAGGAGGTGAAATCTTGAGGCATAAGATCAAAGCAACTTAAGAATTTAAGCTTATAAGTTTAATTTATAAAAATTAATCCATTGCAAACCAAGTGTTCTAAGGTTAATTAACATTTGGTGCACAACGCAACATGTGAATGCTGAATAACAAGTTATGAGAAAACTCATTCAGCAATGAGAAGCATTTTTCAGCATTCAGCGTGGCTGTTTCTGGTCACAAAAATGCTTGCCTGCTACTCAAGAATTAATACAAATTATGCTATGATGAAATTGTCCATGTGATGACACAACAAAATTTTGTACTTCCAAGCAATAAATAAGTGCTAGGAAAATGAAACCATCTCTTTGTAAACTCAAGTTTCCTGTTGTGTTATTACTCCACCCAAATCAATTCATAGGTAATAACATTAGAATGGTCACAATACCTCCATAAGCATCACCATTAGATCTAGTCCATATATTGCTTGAAAAATTGTAGTTCAATCAACATTTAGATAATCAAACACCAAAAAATCACCATGAACTTTCTTTATTACCCATACTTCTTTCCATTACATGGTAACTAATATATACTCAAAAAAACATAATCATCATACAACAAATAAAAGCATCAGATTGCCTTTCCAAATTATGAACGTTAGATTGCCATTACAATCAGATTGCCTTACCAAATTAAAGTTTTCATAGCTTTGCCAAATTAAAAACAATCAGATTGCCTTACCAAACTATACATGTTCATAACAAATAAAAGCATCAGATTGCCTTACCAAAACTATACATGTTCATAACTATACTCAAATTCAGACTGCCTTACCAAATTAAAGTTTTCATAGCTATGCTTGACTGAACGCAAAACTTGAGGTTCAAGTAAAATGATAGATTCCAAAAAACTTATGTGATGACATGTTGGAGAAGCATAAAGACCACAAAAACACTAAACCGTCCC